CTCTAACCCTATAAAGCCAGATGTGTCATATCTGATCGGGTTTCTTTTGGATGTGAGACTTTCTGCATCATTCAGTGGTAAAAGCTTTGCTCAAACCCCTGTTGTACACATTCAGATATACCTGATAACAGCCAGTAGAAGACCACACCAACATAGATTTCTGACTTATTGCACGCTAATTTGATCAAAATAATTCCTGTTTTTTTTTTTCATATGTTGTTGAGGGACCAAAGAAAGACTTCAGACTAAAAAAATCCAATATTCTTCCTATTTTTCTTGGATCAGGCTTTAAAGGGTTTTATAAAAATGTATATATAAAAAAAGTAAGTCTAAAACTTTCATAACCCTATGCAGTACCTCCGGGACCCCTTAGGGGGCAACGACCCCCATTTGAAAACCTCCAGATTGGGGATACAATATAGATGAGCCACAAAAAGATGGGATTTTTTTTCTTTTTTCTTCTGTGCAATCATTCAAGAAGAGATTTCAATGAAATCCTTATAAGTTTACACTTTGACCCACAGCTTCTTCAGGGTCTGGTGAAAGAGGAAACGTGACCCTGATGAACTTTTATTTGATCTCTTATAGTCCAGCGGTTCTCAAACTTTTTTTCAGTGATGTACCCCCTTAAAAATATATTTTTAGTCAAGTACCCCCTGACACAGGCAAAACATTTTTGGAAGAAAAAATGGGTACAGTGCTGTAAAATCACTGTCTTATTTATTAAAGCCAAACGTAACCATGGTAACGACAGGTCGTTGACAAGTGCGTTGGGTCCATGGGTCAAACTAACTTGGTGGGGGGTCCGTTTTATTTTAAAGGATATTGAAACTAAATACTGAATATAAAATGCAGTGCATGAACACACATTTATATTCTATCGAACTTTTTACTGAATAATTTCTCCCAAGACTTATTATGAGGAGCCTACTGATTTTTTTTTTTAAATATATTTAGAAAAGCTTCACATACCCCCTGCAGTACCTCCACGTGACCCCATTTGACAATCACTGTTCTAGTCCACCAGGAGAAGCTTCCCCTGAGTGAACCCCTCTCCTGGAGGTATCCGGACCCTCCCACCCCAGAAGAACCTCGTCTTCCTCCTCATTTTGAGCTCAGGGTCCCGATGCCTGCTAACAGCGTGAGCGCGGTCTGTGG